GTGTAAGTTCTTAATTATGGGTGTGAAGCGCGCCACATTCATGGCTAAGAGGTTGCAAGCCTCTTTTTCATACTCGACTTACCTTGACACTCCTCCAAAACCGAAGGTTATCTAGCATAATAGATTTCTTTTTCAAACGATCGAGTCGAACTACAAACAACCTGATTCCTAAGGTCTAAGGATATGTAGGCGGGATCAATGTTAAAAACTCGGCTGTATTCCGACATCCTCTCTCAAATCTTATTCTCGAGCATTCCGATCTCTTCATAATTCAATATCGGGATAGCTTTTGAATTCTTTCATAATCGTGCGTCAGATCAAGCGTATAGAACTACAAGTGGCCTGAATTCTCATATAGCCTGAGATATGTAGGGAATCTGACACCGAGATTCGGCCATAATCCCTAAAGTCCATACCAAAATCCCTTTTCTAAATATGAAGATTGTAGTCGGTCAAAATTGGATTCGTCAATTTCATTTGCCTCGAATTCCTTTCATCAATCCAAGTCAAACGAGAGACAGCTGTTGATACCTAATTTTGACCCTCCACAATATAAATTAATCATCAAGCTTCTCCAATTTCAAATTATTTAAAATTATTAGTTTTATAAAAAAATAAAAAATTCAAGAAAATAAAGTAAATAAAGTTTGCAAGGTATTTCGTCACTTTTTTTTATAATTTTTAAATAACATATGTGTTTTACACAATTTTGTATATAATTAGTATGTTTTATAATATTAGAAAATCAACTCAAAAAGATTTATTTTTTTTAGTTGAATATTTTATTAAATTAGTTTACTTTAAGTTGGCATATTTTTTTGTTAGTTATTAGTTTATAATTAAATTAGTTGTTTTATTTCGTTAAGATTAAGAAGCTCGTTAATTAATTAATATTAATTCATCTTATTTATATTTTAGTCAAATTCCCTAAATTAAATTCAATTTATCTAACTTCTTAATTCCCATAGGCCATAATTACAATTCTTGTGGCCATACGATTCTTGGCAATTTTAACCTCACCTTAACTCAATTTGAGACCACCTTTTGGGCCAACATTTCAACCAAATCCAAGCCCAAATTCTCTCAACAAAATCAACATTCCAAACTTGGACCCAATTCAATGTTCCCAACCCATCTTTCTAGGCCCAATTCTTTTAACCAGTGGCCCAATTTATAATTCCTAAGTCCACAATTCCAATTCAAAGAACTCATAAACAATAACATCAGCAATACCAAAAGAACCAGACGAACCCTGCGTCTTCTTCACGTTAGAAACGATACAATAACAACGCATACCAAACTCGACCTCACCCCATACTTGCTTTCGTCTTCTTCACGCCTAAATTCACCGGAAATTGCGGAGAACCCAGAGACATGGTCATCTGCAAAACCCATAACCCCTCACGTCCCCTTTTCCCCATTTTCAGGGATTACCCATTCCTTCCACTGTTGCTTCGAAAAGAAAACTTGAATTTCGAAT